AATCTCTGGAGTTCTGTTCTTGTCAGATCATATTTGAGACTTCTCTAGTATACATTGACCCAAAGGAATAAAATAATTCAACAACACTTGCATAGCATGAGATTCCAAAGTGAGGTCTTCCTCTAAGAGCAGCACATTGAGAAGATGTCTGTGAGAGCTCAGGAACTGGTTCAAATCAATTCAGAGTCAAGTCTCCAAGACCTTGCAAAAGGGAAATTGGTGACTTCTTGAAGCAAGCAGTCTCGTCTCATGGATTAGTATGGGGATTTGGCACATCTCACTTTATTCAAAAATTCTTTGGAAGTTGACAGAAACTAAAATGGTTCCTATACAGCTGTGATAAACCAGGATATGAGGGTGACCCAAGACAGATGGGTCATGGTGGAGAGTTCTGACAAAATGTGGTCCACTGGAGAAGGGAATGGCAAACCACTTCAGTATCCTTGCCTTGAGAACCCCATGAACAGTATGAAAAAGCAAACAGACATGACACTGAAATATGAACTCCCCAGGTCAGTAGGTGCCCAATATGCTACTGGAGAAGAGTAGAGAAATAACTCCAGAAAGAATGAAGAGATGGAGCCAAGCAAAAACAGTGCCCAGTTGTGGATGTGACTGGTGATGGAAGTAAAGTCCAATGCTGTAAAGAGCAGTATTGCATAGGAACCTGGAATGTTAGGTCCATGAATCAAAATAAATTAGAAGTGGTCAAACCAGAGATGGCAAGAGTGAACATTGACATTTTAGGAATCAGTGAACTAAAATGGACTGGAATGGTCTAATTTAAATCAGATGACCATTACATCTACTACTGTGGGCAAGAATCCCTTAGAAGAAATGGAGTAGCCATCATCGTCAACAAAGGAGTCTGAAATGCAGTACTAGGATGCAATCTCAAAAATGACAGAATGATCTCTGTTCATTTCCAAGGCAAACCATTCAATATCACAGTAATCCAAGTCTGTGCCCTAATCAGTAATGCTGAAGAAGCTAAAGTTGAACAGTTCCATGAAGACCTATAAGATCTTGTAGAACAAATACCCAAAAAAGATGTCCTTTTCATTATAGGGGACTGAAATGCAAATATAGGAAGTCAAGAGATACCTGGAGTAACAGGCAAATTTGGCCTTAGAGTACAAAATGAAGCAGTACTAAATGAATTCTATTAGTTTTGCCAAGAGAATGCTCTGGTCATAGAAAACACCCTCTTCCAACAACACAAAAGAAGACTACACATGGACATCACCAGATGGTCAATACCAAAATCAGATTGATTATATTCTTTGCAGCCAAAGATGGAGAAGATCTACACAGTCAGCAAAAATAAGACTGGGACCTGACTATGGCTCAGATCATGAATTCCTTATGGCAAAATTCAGACTTAAATTGAAGAAAGTAGGGAAAACCACTGGACCATTCAGATATGACCTAAATCAAATCCTTTACAATGATACAGTGGAAGTGACAGATAGATTCAACGGATTAGATCTGATAGAGTGCCTGAAGAACCATGGGTGGAGGTTCCTGACATTGTACAGGAGATAGTGACCAAGATATCCACAAGAAAAAGAAATGCAAAAGGGCAAAATGGTTGTCTGAGGAGACCTTACAAATAGCTATGAAAAGAAGAGAAGTGAAAGACAAAGGAGGAAAGGAAAGATATCCCCATTTGAATGCAAATTCCAAACAATAGCAAGGAGAGATAAGAAAGACTTCCTTAGTGATCAGTGCAAGGAAACAGAGAAAACAGTAGAATGGGAAAGACTAGAGATCTGTTCAAGAAAATTAGAAATACCAAGGGAACATTTCATGTAAAGATGGGCACAATAAAGGACAGAAATGGCATGGACCTAAAAGAAGTAGAAGGTATTAAGAAGAGGTAGCAAGAATACACAGAAGAACTGTACAAGAAAGATCTTCATGAACCAGATAAGCATGATGGTGTGATCACTCACCTAGAGCCAGACATCCTGGAATGCAAAGTCAAGTGGGCCTTAGGAAGCATCACTTTAAACAAAGCTAGTGGAGGTGATGGAATTCCAGTTGAGCTATTCCAAATCCTAAAAGATGATGCTGTGGAAGTGCTGCACTCAACATGCCAACAACTTTGGAAAACTCAGCAGTGGCCACAGGACTGGAAAAGGTCAGTTTTTTTACCACACATTTGCAATCATCTCACATGCCAGCAAAGTAATGCTCAAAATTCTCCAAGCCAGGCTTCAACAGTATGTGAACCGTGAACTTCCAGATGTTCAAGCTGCATTTAGAAAAGGCAGAGGAACCAGAGATCAAATTGCCAACATCCGTTAGATCATCAAAAAGGCAAGAGAGTTTCAGAAAAACATCTGCTTTATTGATTATGCCAAAGCCTTTGTGTAGATCATAGCAAACTGTGGAAAATGATCTTCAAGACATGGGAATACTAGACCACCTTACCTGCCTCCTGAGAAATCTGTATGCAGGTCAAGAAGCAACAGTTAGAACCGGACATGGAACAATGGACTGGTTCCAAATTGGGAAAAGAGTACATCAAGAGTATATTGTCACCCTGCTTATTTAACTTATATGCAGAGTACATCATGAGAAATGCCAGGCTGGATGAAGCACAAGCTGGAATCAAGACTGCTGGGAGAAATATCAGTAATCTCAGATACGCAGATGATACCATGCTTTATGGCAGAAAGTGAAGAGGAACTAAGGAGGCTCTTGATGAAAGTGAAAGAGGAGAGTGAAAAAGTTGGCTTAAAACTCAACATTCAGAAAACTAAGATCATGGCATCTGGTCCCATCACTCCATGTCAAGTAGATGGGGAAACAATGGAAACAGTGAGAGACTTTATTTTTGGGAGCTCCAAAATCACTGCAGATGGTGACTGCAGCCATGAAATTAAAAGATGCTTGCTCCTTGGAAGAAAAACTATGACCAACTTAGACAACATATTAAAAAGCAGAGGCATTATTTTGCCAACAAAAGTCCATCTAGTCAAAGCTATGGTTTTTCCAGTAGTCATGTATGGATGTGAGAGTTGCACTATAAAGAAAGCTGAGCACTGAAGAATTGATGCTTTTGAACTGTGGTGTTGAAGATTCTTGAGAGTCCCTTGGACTGCAGGGAGATCCAACCAGTCCATCCTAAAGGAAATCAGTCCTGAATATTCATTGAAGAACTGATGTTGAAGCTGAAACTCCAATACTTTGGCCACCAGATGTGAAGAACTGACTCACTGAAAAAGACCCTGATGCTGGGAAAGTTTGAAGGTAGGAGAAGAAGGGAATGGCAGAGGATGAGATGGTTGGATGGCATCACCAACTCGATAGACATGATTTGAGTAAACTCCAGAAGCTGGTGATGGACAGGGAAGTCTGGTGTGCTGCAGTCCATGAGGTCGCAAAGAGTCAGACACGACTGAGCAACTGAACTGAACTTAACTTAATTGAAACCAGGGTACTGGATTCAGCCATTGCTTGTATAAATTTAGGAAAGGTTTTACTAATCCTGTACATATTAACACATGTTCCTGTCAATCATAGGACAAAACAATATTCTTCATTACCTTTGATAGCTAGAGATCTACTTTCATGTAGATATTCTACTGATAATACTAATGATCTTTTTCTTATATTTAAGACATTTATTCACTAAATTTCTACAAGTTGTCTTTCTTCTATGTGCATTTCATAGCTCTACACCTAGGGTGCTTTCTTACCTCTTAAAAACAATGTAAGAGAATGAAAAGACAGAAAACAGTCTGGGAGACAATATTGGCTAAACCTGTATCTGAAAAAGAACTGGTATCCAAAATGTAAAAGAAATCTCTTAGAATTCAACAATAAGAAAACAAATAAAGAAATTAAAAATAGACAAAAGCTCTGAATGGATACCTCACTAAAGAAATATGTACATATGACAAATAAGTATAGGAAAAGGTGCTCAACATCATATGTTATTGCTGCTGCTTCTGTTTAGCCACCAAGTTGTCTCCAACTCTTGTGACCCTATGGACAAACTGTAGTACATCAATACAATGGAATATTATTTGGCAATAAAAAGAAATGGGTCATCAAGCCAAAAAGACATATGGTGGAACTTAAAGGAATATTGCTAAGTGAAACAAGACAATCTGAAAAGGCTACATACTGTATGATTCCAACTATATGACAGTCTGGAAAATGCAAAGCTATAGAGATATTTGAAAAAAGATCAGTGGTTACCATAAGCTCAGGGGAAGGGGAAGGATAAACTGGTAAAGCCCAGGAAATTTTTAGGGCAATGAAACTATTTTGTATGATGCTTTCACAGTGAGTATATGACAGTATGCATTTATCAAAACCCATAGAACTTTGTGTACAGCCCAAAGTGTGATCCCTAATGTAAACTATAGACTTTAGCTAATAATCATATATCAATATTGGTTCAACATTTCTGTAAACCTAAAACTACTCTAATTTTAAAAAGACAACAATATGCTGACTTTTGTTATACACACACACACACACACACCCACACACACACACACACACACACACACACCCAATAGTAACACTGAAAGTTCCCTATACTTTTAGAACACACTTGTGTTTGGACATAGAAACAAAGGTATGGAGTCATATCGACACTGATTGTGGTGTTTTGTCACACAGCAATTTGATTGTCCAAAGTCAGAGTCAGTTGATTTTGTTAGGTCCTTGCTCTTCTTCATGTATGCAGTTCATATGTCCAAGGTTAGAAATATTTTAAAATGTAAAAAAGAATGTATTTATGCATATAACTAAATCACTCTACTATATAGCAGTAATTATTACAGTGTTGTAAGTCAACTATGTTTCAACTGAAAAAAAGTAAAACAAGATATATTATAAGTAAAGGGTAAACCACTTGACAACTTCCAGTAAACAGCAACATGTTTGATTGCTGAATATAAAAAAATACTAGGCCACCACTGTTGCCATCCCAAAAATGTCTGACCAAACATTTACCTGCCTTTTTCCTCTTCTTCCAGGTATTGCGATTGCCAGTGCCCTAATAGATATTTCACAGCAGAAGCCTTCAGATAGTAAAGACAAAACTTCAGGAGTCCGAAATCGAAAACACCACCTCTCAACGCGTCAAGGAACTTGTGTCTGAGAAATAGAAACTGCTTCTGTAGGTTCTGTCATATTTGACTCTGTAAATGGCTTCCATTAAAGGCTGGTCCAAGGCCTCAGTTTTCACGGAGACAAATCTCTGTATGGTCCCAGGGCCCAAACACAATTCCCTCTGAAAGGGAATGACCCAAGTGGCCAAAGAATGTTCCTGAGTTTTATAAAATTAATAGTATTGATGGTCACAGTTGATAAAGTTAGTTTTTACAGCTATCTTAGGCTTATCATAGATAACATTAAAGTACTCTGGAAAAAAAAAGATGTATATTGTTTCTTAATGCAGATGAAAAATATGTAATTCATATGAACCAAACTGTTTATATCCCAGGGCTTTAAAGAAAGACATTTTATAATGCCTGAGTGATGAGAATTGTACAGTTTTTGCCTCCTAAGCAAACTTATGTCACTTGTATATGAACAGGAAATGAACAAACTGCAGTGGCTTTAAATACTATTTTATCTCCTTGTAAATGTAAAAGCAAGATTTTGATTTAGTAGGATGTAGGTAAATGTATTTAAATATTTCACAGGACCGCATCATGTCCAGACTCAGTTTTCAAATGTGATTCTTTTCCACCTAACTGGAATGCAGACCAAGATGAATCCATTTGGCTAGATGGTATTGTGCAGCTTCACAGGAGGTTTATGAGAATTCTGAGTGACGAGGACATTGCTGTCATCCACGCCAACTGCCTAACTCATTATCAGAGCTGATAGAGCATGGAAAAGCCTGTCCAGCAATCAATTTTTCCCCTCCTTCCCAAACCAGCCTCCAATGCCACAAACCTGAAGAGAGCTGAAATAGTTATTTTACAGTATGCAAGCTTCTGCTCTAATATGGTAATTTTTTTAATTGCCTCGGAATCATTGGATCAGACCTCAATGATCCATCTGCATTTTTATAAGAACGGATCACGTTCTTTTGGCCCTTCTCTCCTAGCTGCTAGATTTTATCTACCTTTAACAAACGCTGTGAAAAGCATTTTAGAGTCAAAACCCCCTCCAAGTCATAATATGACCCAGGTTTCTTCCTGCCAACTGTTTCACTTAGAACACAAGTAGAGAATAGCATTTGCTGGCAAGCATATACAGTATTTCTATTTCTAACACAAAGCACATTGGTGTCATGAAAGTCTCCAATTTGAGAAATAAAGTAAGTTTGTCACTGCCCGCATTCGGCATATTCTTAATGATTCAGACATCTTAATGATGGCAGAAAGGGAAGATGGTTTAAGACAGCTTTCACATTGGAATGTAGAATCATGTGTGTCCTAATTTTTGACAACCGTCCACTAGAACTCAGTAGATGAACAGAGCTTGTTTGGAACAGCAATTTCTTAACTTCAAGGTGACTACAGAATATATGAAGAGAGCAGTGACAAGAGACACATCCAAAGCTGCTCTGTGCAATATAGTTTTGTTCAGGATGAAAGTCATTTAAATATAATTGATGTTTAATACTCTCTATGTACTTATCACATTCTTTGGATTTCTGGAAGATAATGACACTTTACTGTTTACAGCTAATGCATAGTTACTTGCATGCTATGGTTGTGCAGTAGTGGAATATGACCCTCTTGTGATATTAAATGTTTATTTCACAATGCCACTTTTACATAGCCAGCTTAATTTGATGAGGATCGAATGTGATGTATAGCAGGAATGATCGTAAATATATTGTTGCATCATATATAAGATTGCTAGGTTGCATCTAACCATGACTATGTCATTGTTTTGATGATTAGGCATTTATGAATTATAGTATACATTCATTATGTTGGCATGATAATTTTGCTATTTTCCATGCGTTAAAAGTCAGACTAATTCTTAGACCAATTTAATCTATAGCCTATGGGGTTCTGGTGGGGATAGGAAGTGGAGCTGTTTGTTTTTAACCTCCCTCTGAAATTTTCTTTCAAAAAAAAAAGAAAGAAATTGAGCAAAGTTTGTAAATGTCTCCTGAAAACAATCAAGCAATTTTTATTAGCTTTTTGGGGAGCCCTTTAAATGTTGATTTTTCTCTCCTGGAAAAATAGATTGACAAAACCGATGAATACAAAAGTAGAATCATGTAAAAATAAAATGATTGCCCAGTTTGCTTAATACTCTGTAACAGTTATCATGAAAGCACATATAACAAAAAGACAGAAATATACAGAGTTGAATGTAAAATCTATTTCAGCTATATTTTTAGAGAGGCTAAACAAATGGAATTACTGTGAAAGAATTGTCAAGCCTCATTCATATCAAATCTCATAGAGTTCTTAAAATTGGTAAATTTGAATTTTAGACAATTATGGGACATAATGCAATGTTAAGTTAAAGTCATGTACTCTGTGTTTCTGGGCTAAATATGGCTAACTCTGTGACTAAATTATGCAATATCTTCTCAATTTTCCAAAGCTTTTTACTGGCAAGAAAATACTTCACCCTATGTGAAGTAGATTGAAAAGACCTTGGGGATAATTGCTTTGAATCTGTATGATTTTCTTTTTCCCCCACATACCAAACACTTTTAATCTGGAAGCTTCCTTAAAAAAAAAAAAGAGAAACCACAAGTATACACAGATACTGTTCAAGAAGTTAGGCATTAAATGACTGATTCTCTTGAAAACTTACCTTAATGAAACTCTATACATTTCAGTTTAGAATGACTTTGAAAAATTCTTTAACTTTTAGGATTTCTTACTCCACCCAAGATGAAAAGCTTTGGTTAAATAGAATGAAAAGTTTTGGTTAAAAAAAATTTTTTAATCATTTTAATAGTGGACAGTTAGAGATTTCTTGTTGAAGAGGATGCACATGCTCACAGATCAATTTAATACATTTGAAGAGGACTGAGATTTTCATAATTGCTTTTAAATGAAAATTTATTTAATGAGACACATAGAAGGAAAATGTATGCCATATACTGTGGTGTTATGTTCAGTAGGAAAACTACAAATAGAATATATTTCAACGTGTAATCGATCCTTACTGTGCTTCCCAATATCTCATTTTCTTTGGGTTACAGTAAGACAGCAGTGACTGCATAGCTTTGTGCTGCTGCGGGGTCACTTAGAGTGCAGACTGGCGGTTGGGCCCAAGGACAGATGTTGCAACCAGCTTTGAGCTATGTGGTGCTGGCAAGTTTTACCCTTTCAAAGCCTCAGACTTACCATCTGTGTGGGGAAGCTACTGTACTCACCTTGCAGAGCTGCTGTGAAACTAGAAGATAGTGGACATAATAAACACAAAGCTTTCATGATGGGCCCTCAGTGCATATGTAGCTGGTTTTTAACAATCGTGGGGCCACCAGGCCACTCTTTTTCTACCAATTGTTTTATCAATTCATCTATTAATTTTTCACTCATATTTTCACCATCTGTAAAAGCCATGTAGGTTTTTGCAAATGAAGATTTCTTAAAAACCTCGAGTCAGCTCCTATATTTCTAGACTATAGAGATTTCTAAAAAAATCCACTTCGATATTTGGGTCCATAGCAGCTTTGACTCTTTCAAAATATATAGTTTTAGTAAAGCATTTTTTAAATGATTGCTTGGTGACATTTAGACAGGAACATTGATTGTCACTTTCATGTTCAAATTTGGCAAGAAGGGATCGATCCTTACATTTGGTTGTCATACACGATACATCTTTGTGGCATTGAACATAAAACTATGACTTGAAGAGTGTTTCATATAAAGTTTTAAAAAATTAAAACTGATCAAGTGAACGAATTCTACCCGCATATACTTTAAAAAAACAAAAATCAACTTTCCAAAGCCTCTTTGCTAAAATAGGTGTGAGTTTACTTAGATGAGTTTGGAACTTGATCATGTGAACTGCCTGGGTCAGTGTACATTCCTACCTTTGCCTGTAGACATTAAGATACAGAAGGACTGGATTGGACCCTGGAGATTCATATGCTTAATAAGCAAGCACCTCAGTGGTTCTTAGGATTAGGCAAATTAAGGATACATTGCACTAGGCCAAAGAGCTGCCTTTATTTACAGTTAGAATTTCTTTAAATAATGAAATCATCGTTCTAAGTCAAAATGCTTTAAATAATTTTTCAAGGAATATAAGCCATCTGGTTGGTGTTACAGCAGTGTTTTCATTATAGTGTACATTTAACATTTTAGTTGTATCAAATTTTTTAAATTAAGAATTAGAACCATCTCAGTATATATGTATACAGGTATGCATGCCAGTGTTAAAACAGATTGTGTAAAAGTTCAAACCTGCTTTAAAAAGCCAACATTTTATGATATAATATGCTATTCATCAGGAGTTTAATTGCTGAAATAAAAACATTGGATCTTCCAACCCCCATTGCCAATGCAGTTTTGTCATATATATTTTTTACCTCCCCAAGATCATCTAGGAAAAAGCACTTAACCAAAGGATAAGTTTATCTGCCATCTATGACTTGGTTATAAAATTTGATTATTGAATTCCACATTCAAAATATATTTCTCTCTCCTTCCCCTGATTTTTGTTGGCCTTTTCTACATGTTCTCTTTGGGTTTGTTTTTTAAAAGAGTTTTTGGATGTGGATCATTTTAAAGTCTTTACTGAATTTGTTGCAATACTACCTCTATTTTACATTTTGGTTTTTTGGCCATGGGGCATATGGAATCTCAGCTCCCTGACCAGGGATCAAACCAGCACACCCTGCATTTGAAGGTGAAATCTTAACCACTGGACCACCAGGGAAGTTTCCTACATGTTCTCTTTGAGTTGCAAGCTGAACACTTCGATTGTTCCTGAGAATGGACGCCTAAGTGGCCAAGATTCCAGCCAAAACTGAGGATCTCTGTCCCAACCACGTGTTCTATGTTTACATAAGTTGTTCTTCTTGTTGTTTAGTCACTTATTCGTGCCTGACTCTTTTGCGACCTCATGGACTGTAGCTTGCCAGGCTCCTCTCTGTCCATGGGATTTCCCAGGCAAGAATACTGGCCCACCCGGGTGGCCATTTCCTTCTCCAGGGGATCTTCCCTGACTCCAGGATGAAACCTGTGTCTCCTGCATTGGCAGGTGAGTTCTTTATCACTGAGCCACCAAGGAGGCAGTGAAAGTCCTCTTTCTGACTCTGGTACAGTCGTGGCATAGCTGAGGAGTTTTCTAAGAAAAGTCTGCTTGTTCCTTGGCAAGTTTTGGGTTTCATCCCCACGTTGCCCTCTGCGTCCTGGCCCATGTCTGCATCACCTCTGTTGTGGGCCTCAGTCTGGTGTTATTAAGACTGAGGTGTTATTAAGGTGTTATTAAGAAGGGAGTAGCCAAGACAGATCCAAATGTCTCTCTTCTCTCCAACCCCATGGGAGGACCAAGTATCCCTGACCCTTCTTGCACTCGGGGGCTCAGGCAGGCATAAGGCCTAACCCTGAGGGGGCCCTGCTAGTGCTCCGGGGGATAACATGGCAGACCCTTTCTCCCAGGGAAACCCAACTCCACACCTCCCAGAGGTCAGGTCAGGGAAGGGGACCGCTCTGCCCTGAGAAACGCCCAGCCTGCTAGCGTGTCCCAGAAAGGTGAAAGTTTGGGGGCAGGCCTCAGAGGAGATGTGTCTGAAGCACGCGGCACTCAGAGCTGAACCCCGGAGCCCCTTTCTCTTGCAACAAAAAGCAGCAACTTCTCTGAACGTCTGAGCCTGGAGCCGCCTCCTCTTCAGCTTGTTGATGGTGGATCAGTGCTTATCGGAGGATTTGGGGATTTCAATCCAACACTTATTTTTCTCTGCCCTGAAGAGATTTCCTCTGAGAAGTCACCTGTAAGTGGCTGGAGTGAGGGGCTGGCATTCCTTCAGCTCAAACTCAGAGTGCTTTCTGATGAACATGCAACCCCGTCTCCAAATTCTAATGGATTCTTCTCCTTGTTTAGCATCAGGGTGCCTGGCACAGCTACAACCACCGAGAAGTATTGTCGACCTTTACTTTCTCCAGGTGCTCAAATGAAAACAGCAAGTATTATTATTTTGCTTCCTAAATATGAAACTACGTTGTATTTTGGATGAGCTTCTAGAAACTGCACCCAGCCACCCCCCCGCACTCCCCGCCTCCACTCTGACCTGTCTGCCT